AAAAAAAAAAAAAAAAAAAACAGAAAGAAATTTGTCAATACGCGTGGGTGATAGATAGGTCTAACACCAAGACTTTTTGGCTCATTCTTTCGAACCGACACCATTGTCTAGGGAGAAATTCAAAAATACCCGCAACTAATAATTAAAAAATAATCACATATAAAGTACTCGAAATTTTGCTACTTTTCATATAAAGATAAAATCTAAACAAAAATACTGTTAAACCAAAAATATTCCTACATAATATGCTAAAGTTTGATTTTTTTTACATATGAGCTTCCAACATAATATGCTAAAATTTTATAATGTACTGGAAGTTTATATGCAGGAGCTCCATAATCCCGCATATTATACAGGAACTTTTCGTATCCTGGAGTTTCAATATAATATGCTGAAAATTTATATGCAGGAGCGCATATTCTGCTGAAACTTTTGCGTGTTTCAGTAAAACAGTGACTATTTTTCAATGACTATGCAAATACTGGTTAGTTTTCGATTACCCGTCCAAAAAATGGCTAGCCCGTGCTATTTTGACCATTGTTTGTTCTCAAACTTATGTTAAAAGATCCATAAGCTTTTTATAAATGATAACTGTCAAGAGAGAACGTTGAAAGCGTGAGTAGCGCGAGCAACCTTGATAAAAACGTCCTCTAAAGTTGTATCAGCCAAACCCCAAGCATAAACCGTGAATTTACTCTTTACTTTCTCAACTGCTTGAAATACATCTGCAATTCTAACCTCTTGCTTTGGCAACTCAAACTTCTGTGTCCCAGATATATGGTATATCTTGTTGGCATTTGGGGATAGGCGTCGCACCATGTGCTCCACTTCTTCTTCATTATCTGATGATGTTGTCATTGTAAACACATAAGACCCTCCATATCTTGCCTTCAACTGTTATCCAACAGGGGAAGAAATGGTGAGAACAGTTTGACAATTAAAAAGAAGCAAATGGGGAGGTCAAAAGAGCAATGTACTGACTCAGCCTGGTAATCGATCATTACTTTCCAAAGCCTACCAAGTCTCCATTTCTCTTCATTCTTACTTGTGTGCACACATTATTATTATTAGTATCAGAAGAATATCTGACTCCAGAATCTCACCACAGTGGCGCACCACAGCATCAGCATACAGAACTAACAAAAATTTCTTAAAAGCTTGGAATTACCTCTTTGGGATTTCCTAGGCACTGCAAGCTGCCATCAACGAATATTCCTAGTCGATCACATAGATGTTCCGCTTCTTCCATGGAATGGGCTGAAATTGTTATCCTTATGAGTAGTCATATTAGTGATCTCATTAACCAGTGGTAAGAAAGGAACAACGAAAGAATTCAGGTGTGCAATATGCTGGGCTGAAATGTGAAATTCACATATGATTAGAGTGGAATGACAAAAACTAGTGTACAATGAATAATATCCCGTTGTCAGTGTTTTGAAGATTACTTTATATTGTTGTATAAGAACAAGCAAAATTGGAGAAACACTAAATACAATTGGTTAGAACTACCCTAAGTTGCACAATGTTTGTTCATTTCAAAGGCGGCAAACAAAGAAACAAGAGAAGTAATGTTAAATTACTTGTGAGAATAATTGCTCTATCTTGCTTTGCACGTTTGACAACATTCCACAAGTTATTTCGTGAAGCTGGATCCAGTCCAGTGCTGGGCTCATCCATGTAGACTACCTGGAAAATTTCATAAACCACAAGAATATCAATACACATAACTCCCAATGTTTTCCCATGAGGATGGATGGTAGAATTAACATACCTTAGGATCACCAATCAGTGAAATAGCAACACTTAGCCTCCTCTTCATTCCTCCACTGTATTTCCCAGTTTGCTTGTCAGCAACGCCTCCATGAAACAAGTTGACACTCTTAAGAGATTCTTCAACCGCCTGTATGCAGAAAAGTATAAGTAACCAAAACAAAATACATTATCTGCTTTGGATAACGAGTCAAGTCTATTCAAGATTTTGTCTTTCAAGTTGCNGAGAGGAGATCAACCAATTGCTTGAGCTATTGATTGAACAATATCAGTAAAGATATCCTGGAGCAGTGGATAGAATAAATTTAATCAGTAATGCTAATCGGATGTAACTTAGGCTGGATCAAGATATCTTTTGTAACAGATTTTGGACAATAAGTTCAATTTTACAAGCATTAATAAGCCAGAGTAAAAGTGAAGAAGTGAGCCATTAGCCTACTTGTGTCAAGTCTGCTCCTATAAGATTTTTAAGCCTTCCGTAGAAAAGTAGGTGCTCCCTTCCTGTTAATTTTTCCCAAAGCAAGCTGATATAAATTCCGAAACGAAAAAGACAATTAGTATTAGGATGCTGATATTTGCAGGAAGGGGGAGGGATCAAATGTCAACTTGACTTGAGAGAAAATCATTTTTTACTCATGCTGCGGACATACACCCATGTTGGTGTATATCATATCCATGTCTGTTCGTATATCCATACCCTGAGCATATGCAGTACCGGAGCTTGGTTTTATGAGTCCAATCATCTGTTAGTAAAAAATTGTCACTCTAAGGGTGTTGTAGAGTTTTCATTTTAGCAATCTAAATAAATAAAAAACGAATCAGTATACAGCACATCTGCCGACAAAATGAAGGGCACTCAGAATGTGATTTTAAAGTTATTGACACATTAGAATCACATCCACATGACTGACCATATTAATAAAAGTAGTTTTGCCAGCACCATTGGGACCAAGCATACCAAAACATTCCCCTTGCGGCAAAGCAAGTGACAATCCTCTCACTGCAAATTTCTCAGGGTTTCCATCTTTCCCTGGATAAACCTTTTTCAAATTGTCACAAATGATGGCATGAGTTGTACTTGATTCGAGTAACTGTTCAACTCTCTCCCTCTGTTGAAAGGATGTTCCATATGGTTAGTTTCGTAGATAGGAAACCCAAGAAAATGTTTTTCACGAGAGAAGTTAAATGTTTACCTCCTGAGCAACATCAGGTTTCTCCATTTGTACGAAAACTTTAGAACCCTGCTTTTGTAAACTATGTTTCCTGAAGGAAGGTGAAGGGTTCTTTCGGGAGTTCCACAAGAAAAATAGGGGATCTTTCCCTGATGATGCAATCTGATCAACGTAATAAGAAAGAAAGAGAAATACCAACCACTGCACTAACATAATTACTAGGACCTCGTTCATCCCATTTTTTCCATCACTCAGATCATTCCATCTCATACCATCTGTTCCCAAATAATTACCATTGAAAGCATATTGGGAAAACTCATATAATCCACGAAAAAGAGAAAATCCAGGATATAGCTCCATAACTATAATCCAGCCTCCTAGAATTTCATGACAGCATTTACCAGAAGATTAGTACACAAAATTCAAAAGCAAAGGCAAAATCCTCTGACCAATCTTTTGGCCTCTCCTATCCATCCTTTCTCCGACAGTATTCTCCTTCACTTAAACAATATTTAGTATTTTCTGAGAGCTCTAGGTAAGCAGATAAAACAGACAACCACGCTATTAAGTTTCACTGTAGAAATTGAACGATGCAATCCGTAATGAACTGCAGGTCAGTACAAATATACTGCTCCAATATAACAGAGTTATCATCAATTCGGAGGGTGACTAGGTGGTGCAACTATGAAAATCATGATTTATAATTCCAGCTAGACATCAAAGAGTTATCGAGACAGCTGTAATATTTTTGAACTTACTGGGAAATGATTCATCCTGGAGAAAGAACTGGAAAAGGAATGCTGCCAAGAGTCCGTTTGCAAACACCATTATATAGCCGATGACTGTTACAATGTCAAGTAAGTAGAATTAGTTATATCAAGTTAGTTGCTGAAAGTTAATAGGAATAATTGGTTCATCCTTCTCATAAACATTCTGATTCATATGCAATCCTTGCAATATAAATAGCAAATTCTATTGCAGAAATCAAACCTGTGGCTGTCTTAACATTCGAGAAAAACGCAGCAACTAGAAAAGAAAGGGACACTTGCAAGTTCATGTAAATGAAATAAAATACGAACTGGATGCTGTAATCATTAAGCAAAAAGAACTTCAAGCCTGCAAAAGGGAAAAAGGGGGGAAAAGGAAAGTTTTGTCAGGCAACTCTAGTTAATAGAAAGGACTCAACTGAGTAGCTGTAGGATTACCTACTAATGAGCCGAAAATCACAAAACATAACATGTATATAGAAGATATGACCAAAAAATAAGCATAAGAAATCATCCAGTAGGGACCATCCGCAAGTCCATGCATTTTCATCATGATTCTTAGTTTCTGCTGCTTCTCATAAACCAGAGCTATCAAAACAACCTGCAACAATTAATCATGCAATAAATATGACGAGAATAAAAAATAAATAGAATCATATGATAAATAAAAAGATAGCATCTTTATAAAGTAATATGTATATGCAATTACTGTATTACAAATTAATATGATAAACTTAACCAAGCATGATAGTGTTTTAAAGAAAATAAACAGTGAGGAGTTTCAGAGATATGATCGTCGAAAGCTGCACTACATTCTGAAAAACCTCATGTTGACAATGTACTGAGTTAAAGAAGTGCGACACTAGAAAAGAAGTTAAAGCCCCTGCATGTTCACTATGATGAATACTTATTTCTTGGAGTAGCTAAGATAACAGTGTAAGAGGTTTAATAGACCCCTCCATCCATTTCATTTTATGTGTCTTACTTTGATGTACGGAATTTAAGAATGTAAAGAAGACTTTTGAATATTGTAGTCTTAAATTAAAGGTGTGTATAACAATACCAAAAATACCCTTTAGTTCTTGTGGCTTTAAACATGCCATGTCAATGATGTCATCCCTACCAAGGAGTGTCATTAAGGGTAAATGGGAATGTTGGAGTTAAAAACTTAGAAAAATAGAAAGCGGCAATATTTTTTTTGAAACAGACTTATAACTAAAGTCAGACACATAAATTGAAATGGAGGTAGCAATATTTTCTTAGCTCTTCCGTCAAATAAATCAGATTTTCATTCTCATACATGAACAAAGCAATAAACCATGTTCAGCCAAAAAGGAAAAAGAAAGATTTATAAGTCATATTGTGTGACTGAATAAGGAGTTAATGTTCACTCCTCATGACTCCAACACATAAAAAGAGGTAAATACTAAACAAGGCAGTTGATGAATGCCAAGAAAGTCGTCTAGGAAATGGATAGCTGAAAAGTTGGCATCAACGGATAGCATTAATAGAAAACTGATTTGTCTGACATGATTGAGACGGTCAATTTAACAAGTCCCGTCACGATAGAACAGAACAATATCACGACAGAACAGAACATATTTACTTACAGGAAAAAGCTGTGAAACCACCCATGAAAAGAATAGTGGTCCCAGGATAGAAGCAAAGTCCAGGCTGAGTTTTGTTTCTGCTTTGGGCATTTCTTTGACAAACTCAAACAGCACTCTTGCAGAAGGCCCACGCAAAAACTGAAGGTAGGCATTTGATGCCTGTACATCAGTTAAAACATCAGTTACTTAAATAGGTTTAGTACAACTATAACCAGTCTTTCATCAACACAGATTGTAGATGTACATATTCATTGGATTCAGTCAAGAAGTATAACAACAGCTATGCCTCAGTCTACCTTGTGGAGGTAGAGAGGCTGTTTTCAATAGACCCTCGGCTCAGAAAAGCATAGGTACCACAATAATAACAAGAAAACAAGACGGGACAACACCGAGAAACCATGTAAAAGCAACATACATAACAGGATAGTAAGATGATCGAAATACAAAAAAACGACAGGTATTCAAAGGAACCTAATACCAACCAAATGTATTTGAGAGATTAAGGGCTCCATAAAGCAGGGGAAAAGGGGAACAATAATATTGAAGCTAAAATGCACTGAGTTCTCCAAATATTCATCCGTTGCCTAGTCATGCCCTACTCAAGGAAGTGGAACTAATTTTCTTAATTCTATTTAGGATTCCCTTTACTTTTCTATGATCAAGACAACACAAAATTTACAAGGATCGAGGATAATTTGCATATTGAAGAACATCGCAGTAGAAATTGGAAGGTTTACCAAATTCACTGTACGAGGAATCCTTGACAGTGCCATTGGTAGATTGCCTTTGTCTTTCTTATAGGTAGAGTTATACCAAATATTCACATTGAAACCATTTCTATTTGAATTATGGAAATCATATGCTG